CCTTGAAACGAAAGTGTCATGGAGTCCACTTGGAGCCAACACAACTCACACACCAAGTCAATGCAGGAAGCAAAAATTCATTGTAATCAAGCCACCACTGATCAATCTGCTCCCCCCCCCCAGCCAGAATGATAAAGAGCTTTTAAGCTGAAAACCAAAAACATCTGTGCCAAATTATAGTTGCATTTTTCCACCAATCAGGATGGATCTCTCCGAGGAATACCATTCTGTGGTACACTTTTATTCCCCTCTCTCCCTCTCTCCCCCTCCCTTCTCCCTCTCTCTCCCCTACCCCCTTTTCTCTCTGGTTTTTCAAGACAGGGTTTCTCTGTGTAACAACCCTGGCACTCACTCTGTAGATCAGGCTGGCCTTAAACTCACAGAGGCCCGCCTGCCTCTGCCTCCCTAGTGCTGGGACTAAAGGCTTGCACCACCAATGCCCGGCTTCACTTATTTTATTATTATTGGTTGGTTTACTCAAGCGCAGCAGGGCAGCTTGCCCACCATTCTTCCATTCTTGTCTTACCTGGCCAACCAGGATGTCAGTTACCTAGGGAGGTCTGGGGAACTTAAATTTTATTTGACCCTTATTCAAAATGGAAGTTCTATCCAAAATGGCTTCAGTTTTTGTTTCTTCTTACAAAAAAAAAAAAAAAAAAAATTAGAAAAAAAAAAAGGCTCTAAGCTGGGCGGTGGTTGCACACGCCTTCAATCCTTCAATCCCAGCACTCGGGGGGCAGAGGCAGGCAGATCTCTATGAGTTCGAGGCCAGCCTGGTCTACAGAACTAATTCCAGGACAGCCTCCAAAACTACAGAGAAACCCTGTCTCAAGAAAACCAACCAAACAAACAAAATACCGCAAAACAAAAAACAAAAAACCCGAAAGAATGTTACAAAACAACCAGTTTGGTGCACATGGTAGTGATCCCAATGCTTGGGAAGTAGAGGAAGGAAGATCAGGACTTCAAGGTTACTAAATTATACACAGGAGGTTGGAGTTAGGTCTGGGCTAATTTTAATTTTGTCACCATGTTTCAGGAACAAAAAACAGACGAACGACAGGGCTAGGGATGTAACTCGTCGGTAGAGTTTGTCTAGCATGCACAATGCCCTGGGCTCTGTCCTAGCATCACATAAAATGTAGCCCTGCCCACCTGTAGTCAAGCACTTGAAAGACTGAGACTTTCCTCAGCTACACAGGCAGTTAAGAGTCCAGTTTGGGTTGCATGAGACCCTGTTTCAAAAAATACGAAATTTAAACCGTAGTTTCCCAAGGACAAAAAAAGCAGCCTAGTGGCCTCCATACCCAGCACGGAAGCATCAGGTGTCACGGTGTCGCCAGCACCCTCTCGGATGATATCCTTCAGCACACCTCGGTCCCCAGAAATGTCCAGCATCCGTTGACTCAGTCGCTCATAGGGAGACTGATAAGAGAACACCACAGGCCTCAGGGATGGGAGCCACCTGGCTGGCCTCCCCAGGCCCCTGTCCCGTTCCCGCCCTCACCTGGCCCAGAACTTCGTCCCCTTCCAGAGCTCCCGGGGCGCGGGTGCTACCACCCATGGCCGTGCTCCGCTCCGGGTTCTCCCCAGCTCGTGCTTCCAGGTCCTCGACCCCCGCTCCGTACCTGGCAGTCGTCTCGCGACGGCGGGATTCCGTTCCTGAGGCGCGAGAAGACGCTCATCTTGCCGCTCAACGGTCGCCAAACGCCTCACAGGAAACGACGCCTGGAAGTGAGGCGCGGGCGTGTGTTGCGCACGAGAAATTCACGTGGTTGACGCCGGGAGCATGCGCTGAGACGTCTCCCAGCATGCACCACACACGGGACAGCAGACGCAAAGCATGATGGGGTAGCCAGAGGGTTGCAAGCGAAACATTTTACACGGCTTGGCCGCGAGCCTTTCTTTATGTCTGTCTTGCTGGTTGGCGTTCTATCACAGGTGGAACACAATGCCACGAAATTAGTGACTTAAACCGACACCTTTTCAACCTCAGGGTCGACTAGTTAGGTGTTCAAATACTTATTTTTTGTGTAATGCTGAGAATTGAATGAATGTAGTCAAGATTAGACAAGCGATCTAATGGTCAACAGCATCCCCAGCCTTCCTACAGGGGATTTCTACGTTGATGCATCCAGCCCTTCACTGGGGAATCTAGGCAGGCTTTCTGCTGCTGAGCTATGCCCTCAACCCAAAACTTGATGTTCTTTCTTTTTTTGTTTTGTTTTTCGAGACAGGGTTTGTCTGTCCTGGAATTCACTATGTAGATCTGGCCTCAAACACAAGAGATTCGCCTGCCTCTGTCTCCCAAGTCCTGGGAGTCAAGGTGTGTGCCACCACAGCTTGCTCCAAGAATTCAGATTTTATTTATTTATTCATTTATTTGAGACAAAGTTTCTCTGTGTAGCATTAGCTGTCCTGGAACTCTGTAGACCAAGCTGGACTCGAATGCACAGAGATCTGCCTGCCTCTGCCTCCCAAGTGCTAGAATTAAAGGCATAGGCAACCACCGCCTGGCTAAAATTTCAGATTTTAAAAGTTCATAATTTAGTAACATTGATGGACAGAAGCCGGATGTCAAAGAGTACAACGAATGTGATTGTTGTCACATCAAATTCACAAACAGACCCCATGGACTGGGCTAGGGATGTAATTCAATGGTAGAGTGCTTTTGTAGCATGCTCTAGATCCTGGTTCTGTCACCCAACAAGACAAGAAACAAATAAGGCCATGCAAGATGGCCAGGTGGGTATGGTGCTTGCCCCCAACCCTAACAACCAGGATCCACACTTGGAAGGAGAGAATGGACTATTGCAAGTTATCCTCTGCCCTCCCCATGTGCCTTCAAGCAATAAGTGTTAAATAAATCAATAAAGTGGGAGGCAGAGGCAGGCAGATCTCTGTGATCTCGAGGCCAGCCTGGTCTACAGTGCTAGTTCCAGGACAGGCTCAAAACTACAGAGAAACCCTGCCTCGAAAAACAACAACAACAAAAATCAATAAAGGCAGCTAGTGTCCTATTCCCACCCTCATCTGGCCCAGGATTTCGTCCCCTTCCAGGATAGTCACTGTCTTGATTGGGGGCTGGACTGGCAGGAGACGAGGGACTGACACTGGAAGTTTTGCTTTTGAGATAATCTCAGGGGACCCAAGATGGCTTTAAATGTGTTGTGTAGCTGAGAAAGAACTTGAACTTCTGGCCTTCTGTCAGTACTTCCTAAGTTCTGGGATTACAGGTGTTCACCACCCTGTCCAGTTTACAACTTGACCTTGAAAGTGAGCATACACAAGTAAGATACACATCACTTCATCACACTGTGACACTGTGTGGTTAAGATCTGTTCGTGTTACAACTTAAATAAAAAACAAACGAACAAAACAACAACAACAACAAAAGAGTAAGCAGTGTGTTTTTACACACCATACTGTACCCAAACCTACAAAACAAGAGAAAATCTAAATAAATAAAATACCTTTAAAATCCTGAGTTTGGGGTATTCAAAAAGCTGCTTGTCATAGTGTATGCCTGCTCTGGTTTGGAGTTTGTAAGTATGGAGGGCACACTTGCCTCGCCCTTCCCCCACCCTGGGCAAGGCCACTATCTGCCTGTCTAGGTTATCATGAGGGACCCAGCAGAGGTTGCCCTTCAGTCTCGTGGTATGACCCACTTTCCGCCTGATTCCGGATGACCTTGGGGACACAGGTGTTGCTGGGAAAGGGGAGGGGAGAGAAGGGGCGGACACAAGGCAGTGGACTCTGTTTCCAGCTGCGTGGTCCAGGTCTGCAGTCCCATTCTTGCAGAAAGAAAAAGCCTGAGCGACCAGAGAGAGCTGCTGGTTTGAGACCCTGGTGGGAGGCCTGGTGGACCACAAGAGACCAGGTAATGCAGTAGTGGGGATGGGGCAGGATGCTAGTATGGTCAGTGGAAACTTCTTTTCATTTCCATAGGGGAGCAGGTGGGAGATAAGTGCCAGAGCCTCCCCATTCCAGGCTCTCTGAGGACAGTGTTGCTCTGGGACAGGGGACTTGACCCTTCGTTCAAGGGCAAGTGAAAAGGTACTGACTTGCCAAATATGCTAGAGGACCCCAGGTTCTATACCCAGCACTGTATAAACTGGGTATAGTAGGGGAATACCAGTAATCCCAGCATTCCTAGTACTCCATTCTCAGATGGAGGAGCATCGGGAGTTCAGCTTCATCCATGGCTACATCAGAGTTCAAGGCCATCACCGCTTACAGGAGCTTTGTCTCCTGTAAGGGCCAGGTGGTGATGGCACACGCCTTTAATTTTTGCACTCGGGAGGTGTGGATTTTTGTGAGTTCCAGGCCAGCCTGGTCTACAGAGTGAGCTCCAGTATAGTCAAGTCTACACAGATAAATCCTATCTTGAAAAACATGAGAGAGAGAGAGAGAGAGAGAGAGAGAGAGAGAGAGAGAGAGAGAGAGAGAGAGAGACTGACCCCCTGGAGCTGGGGCTCTGGAACCTCTAGGACAATTTAAGAAAACCTGGTCTCACAATAAAAGGGGACGAGGGCACTAAAAAAGAAAAAGGTAAAGAGAAGGCTGGGAGGCTTTACCTCATCAATGGAGTGCTTGCCTAATATGTGCAGGGCCCTGGGTTCAATCCCCAATGCTGGGGGAGTGTAGAGGGTGGTCATATCTCCATGTGACATTTGTGCTAGGGACCGAACCCAGAACTGCGTGTATACTGGAAAAGTGGCTGTGCCTCTCTGAGTTACACTCCCAGCTGAGCAGTGTATCTATCTAGACCCATAGTGACCATTTTTCCCCATTTAAGTCCTTTTTTCCCCCTGGATGGGGTAACTGAGGCTCAAGGTCATCAGAGTCGGTTGATAACAGAACCCAGGGCTGGCATACGTCTCCCTTCCAGCATCTCTCGGGTTGGTGGCAAAAATTAATAAATAAACAAATAAATAAATAGATAGATAGATAAGGGGAGGGAGTGGCAGGATAGAAGACAAACTGCCACCTACCTGTGTTGCAGCTGAGCTGCGTGCATGGCTTGGCGCGTGACTGTGCCAGAGCTACAGGACCAGCTGCAGTGTCCCATTTGCCTGGAGGTCTTCAAGGAGCCTCTGATGCTACAGTGCGGCCACTCCTACTGCAAAGGTTGCCTGGACTCCTTGTCCCAACACCTGGACTCCGAGCTGCGCTGTCCTGTGTGTCGCCAGTCGGTAGACTGCAGCAGCTCCCCGCCTAATGTCTCCTTGGCACGGGTGATCGATGCCCTGAGGCTCCCGGGGGATACAGAGCCCACCGTCTGCGTGCACCACCGAAACCCTCTCAGCCTCTTCTGTGAGAAAGACCAGGAGTTCATCTGTGGTCTCTGTGGCCTGCTGGGCTCCCACCAACACCACAGAGTCACACCAGTCTCCACTGTCTACAGCCGCATGAAGGTGCGAGGGGTGGGTAGGCCGCTAGGGGGAGGGGCGGAGCAAGGGGCAGCTCTCCTGAGCCCTCTTGCGCCTCAACTTGGTGGAAGAAGCCTACTGCACCAGGGCTCCATCACTGCACTCAACTCCATCTTGGAAGCATAAGCCTTGCATATACAGGCGCGCATCCATTCATTAGTTTTTTAGCGTTTGTTTGTTTGTTGACTGATTGTGTGCACTTGTGTATCATGGCATGGATGTGGGAGTCAGAAGACAACTTGTGGAAGTCAGTTCTCACCTTTCATGCGGGGCCCCATTCATTGGTTTTGAGCAGCTTAGTATCCTGGGTGCTGGGGACCACAGCGGCAGAAATGACGGGGAGCCTCTAGACAGACTTTCCCCTTCTTTTTCTTTGCATCTCTGGCTTATTTTATTTTGTTTTGCTTGCTCTAGTGGAGACAAAACTCAAGGTTCGGTGTATAGCTTAAGCAGCACGAAGCAGCATCACCGGCTATCCTTTAGTTCAGTGGGATGGTTTATCTGAGGCAAGGTTTTATTATGGTAGCTCAGGCTGACCTTGAACTCACTATGCGACCCAGATTGGCCTTGAACTCTAAATTTTCTTGTCTCATTTTTCACAGAGCTGAGATTAACAGGCATGCACCATCATTGATTTTTTTTTATCCTTTTTACAGTTTTTATTCATTTATGTGTGCACATGTATGGAGGCCAGAGAACACCTTCAGCAATCAATTATCTTCTTCCACTCTGTAGGTCCCAGGATCAAACTCGAGCCATCACGGTTTATTTGCTGAGCCATATCATTGGCCTGGCTTCTTAAGAGCTCCTAAATGGGCTGTGATGGCACCCACCTTTAATCCCAGCACTAGGGAGCCAGAGGCAGGTGGATCTCTTCGAGTTCCAGGCCAGCCTGGTCTACAGAGTGAGTTTCAGGACAGCCAAAGCTACACAGAGAAACCCAGTCTCAAAAAACAAAACAAACAAACAAAACCAAAAATAAACAAAAACAAAAAAAAAAAGCTTTGAAAGAAAAGAAAAGAGCTCCTAAGTCTATCTGTTCCCAAGCAGGAGAGCAGGGCCTTTGCTCCCTACTGTTTCTACAACAGTGGTTCTCATCCTGCAGGTTGCAGCCCCTTAGAGTTAACCAGCCTTTTCACAGGGGTCACATATTAGATGTCCTGCATATCAGGTGTTTACATTATGATTCATAACAGTAGCAAAATAAGTTACAATGGAGAAAAAAAGTTATGGTTGGCAATCACCACAACTTGAGAAACTATTAAAAGGTCACAGCATTAGGAACCCTTTTAACTGCTGGTTTTACAGCTACAGTTGTTAAGTGGTAAATATAAAAATATATATGTTAAATTGAATTCCTCAGGCAATGGACCTCAGGTGAACAGATCAACATTTATTATTTAAAATGTTTTCAAATGTAATACATGTAAGGCTTAAGAATCATATGTATAAGGCTGGAGATGTGACTCAGTGGCATAGTGCTTGCTTAGAATCCCCCAGTGAGGGGCTGGGGTGTGGCTCAGTGGTAGAGTATCTGCCTAGAATCCCCCAGCGAGGGGCTGGTGTATGGCTTAGAGGTAGAGAGCTTGCCTAGCAAGTGCAAAGCTCTGGGTTTCACAAGAACCAGAAAGACTATATATATTTGTAAGTAGGACTGAAAGAGGCTAGTTTTATTGCTCTGCTTAGATGCATTTATTTGTTCCTGTTACCTGGAAAGACAAGTACACCAAACATCAGGACTAGCAGTGCCTGTGCCTTTTACTTACATGTACACATTGGTGTTTAATACATGCAAGCACTGTGCTTGTATCTGCTACAACAGTAGGCAAAAGTCCCGCCAGGCCTGGGAAATGCATCACTTGGGATATAGTGAGTTTTGTGTGTTGGGTGGCCGGGTGAGATACTGGCTTCTGTCAAGAAACAACTTAAAGCTGGGTGTTGGTGGCTCATGCCTTTAATCCCAGCACTTGGAAGGCAGGGGCAGATCTCTGTGAGTTCTAGGCCAGCCTGGTCCACAGAACTAGTTACAGGACAGGCTCCAAAGCAATACAGAGAAACCCTGTCTCAAAAAACAAAACAAAACAAAACAAAACAAAAAAAAAAAACCCAACAATGAAAGATAAAAAAATAAAAAGAAAAAGAAGAAGGAAGGATTTACTGTGGCTCATGATTTGAGGGTACAGAGCATCATGGCAGGGAAGGCAAGCATGGCAACAGGAGCAGGAGGCATCCCATCACATCCACAGTCAGGAAGCAGAGAGAGACAGATGCAGGTGCTCAGCTCACTGTCTCCTTTTTACTCAGTCCTGGACCCTAACCCTTGGCATGGTGCCTGCCACCCACACTCAGGTTCGGTTTGTCCTCCTGGATTAAACCACTCTAGAAACACCCTTACAGACATACCAGAGATCCACATCCACTATTTCTAAATCTGATCAAACTGACACTGAAGATTAACCATCACAGCAGTCGTGCAACCTGCAAAGTCACTAGTCAGGGACGGCTTCATAGAGGAAGTGGATTTCCAGACTGAGATCTGAATTGCAAGGAAGACAGGGAGGAGAGGAGGAGAGGACGGGAGAAAGCAACACCTACAAAAGAGCAGGAGGCATGTGTGAGGTCATTCCGGCGCTGGGAGATGGCGCTATGGTGAGGGCACTTGTTGCATGAGGGCCTGAATTTGAATCTCCAGTACCTGTGTAAAAAGCCAGACGTGGCCATGTGTATCTGCAACACCAACAGAGTGGGAAGAGACAGCATGGCTGGGCTTGCTGGCTGCCAGCCGACCTTTAGCGTCATGGAAAGACCCTGTCTCCAGGGAACAAGGCAGAGAGCTGAACACCTGACATCCTCCTCTGGGCTCCACAGGTGTCCAAATGGATATGCATACCTACATATGTACGTGCATATCATATGTGTGTGCATGTGCACGAGCGTGCACACGCACACGCGCGCGCACACACACACACACACACACACACACACACACACACACACACACCATCCCACAATTCAGGAGGGAGAGTGAGGTAAGGAGCCAGGCCTGATGGTAAATACCTATAGTCCCAGCATTGAAAATGTGGAGTCAGGAGGAGCGTAAGTTAGAAGTCAACCTGCTTATATATCAACTTTGAAGCCAAGCAGAGTTATGAAAAACACCTTTTAAAAGAGGAAGAGAGAGAAAGAGAGGGAGGGAAAAGAGAGAGGGAGGGAGGAAGTTAAGAAGGAGGAGGAGAAGAAGAAGAAGAAAAGAAGGGCCGGGCGTGGCACATGGGAGGCAGGGGCAGGCAGATCTTTGAGTTCAGCCTGGTCTACATAGTGAGTTCCAGGCCAAGTGGGCCAATATAGAGTGACCTTGTCTCTAACAAACACAAAATAAAGGGGAAATGAAAGTAGGGAGGGGAGGAGGGTTTGGAGCCAGATGGGGCAGGCAAGTAAGCAGGACCCAGATTGTGGAAAGCTGCATGAGCCAGGAAGGGGCCTGGCTAAATAAACCTGGGTTTATTAGAAGCCATGGGCAGATGGTGGCCTCTGGAGGTTTGAAGCCTGGTGATGATGTGGTCAGATCTCCCTGGCTGGAGAGTGAGGCTGAAGCTTGCAGCAGGGTCTGCAGGGACCGGGAACCAATAAAAGAAACAGGTAAGGAAGTTCGGATGTGCCAGGACGCTTGGGAGGAAGGTGAGGAAAACACCTGAGGTCTGAAGGTGGGAAGGAAGGTGCATGCAAGGACCCACAGCATCGCAGACAGGTGGGCTGCTGTGAGGGAGATGCAGCAGTCAACACCTGAGTGACGCCATTGCTAGGGACCAGGCAGAAAGAAAAGTACCACATAGATGAACTCAGGAGCAGCAGGGCTTAGGATGCGGAGAAAGGGCTGGAGGGCTGTCTTAGCAGTTTAATGAGCGTCTGTATGTATGTATGGATGGATGGATGTATATTGCTCTTGCAGAGGACCTATGTTTGGTTCCCAGCATTCCTGTCAGGTGACTCACAACCACTTGTCACTCCAGCTGCAGGGGATTCCATGGCTCAGGCCGCCTTGGTCACTGACACTTACTTACATGCACCCCCCCCCCCACACACACACAGTTACACATGTGTACATTCAAAATTGAAAATAAATCTGTTTTAAAAATCCTTTTTTTAAAAAGGCATGGGACATGGGCTGTGGAGACAGATTAGTCAGTATGGTGCTTGCTCTGCCAGCATGAGGAACTGAGTTAGACCCCTAGGCCCACTTAAAAAGTGAGGGTGTGATAGTATGTGCTGGCAATCAATCCCAACACGGAGAGGCAGGGGCAGGCAGACCCTTGGGACTTCCTGGCCAACTATCTTGCTTAGCTGACTTAGGGAGCCCCATACAGTGACAGGCTCTGCCTCAAAATACAAGTTGGAGAGTACACGAGGAATAACACCCGAGGCTCACCTTTCACCTCCTCACACATGTGCACCTGCACACACATAAACACACATGCACACAGGCTATGGGGAGAGAGAGAGAGGGCACCATGAGGAGGGACAGAGGGAACAATAGTGGACCCTGGCATTCTGGGAATCGGAGAGTCCAGCACCTTAAGATCAGCTCTCTGTGTGTATGAGGGCTGGAATGGAGCTGGACTGTAAGGGTGATGAAGCCAGGAATGGTGGCCCACACCCATCATTCCAGCACTCTGGAGCTCTGAAGCAGTAGGGTCAAGAATTAGAGGCTAGCCTAGAGTATATAAAGGGGAATCTGTCTCAAAAAAACAAAACAATAAAAACAAAACAAACAAACAAACAAAAAACAAAAGCCAACAACAAACGGCACTTAGGAAGCAGGAGGATCTGAGTTGACAGTCGGGTCAGTGCTCAGCACATAAAGGCCTTTGCCATGAAAACATGAGGACCTGAGTTCAATTCCTGCATATGGTAGAAGAACCAACTCCTTAAAGCTGCCTTCTTCTGACCTTCATACATGTACCTTGTTATGCATGTACACACACACACACACACACACACACACACACACACACACCACTTTTTAAAAAGACATTTTGACCTTTTTTTTTTTTTTTTTTTGAGACTAGGTCTCAATACTCAATTATCCTGCTGGTCTGGGACTCACTATGGAGCACAGGCTGGCCTGGAACTCAGAATCTTCCTGTCTCAGTCTCCTGAGAGGTGGAAGTGTGTGTCTTGGTGGCTTATCTTCCTCCCACTGTGGACCAGTTCACTAACCTGGTCTCGCCTCTCTCTGCTTAAGGAGGTGGCCATTGGTGTTCCCTCCCGAGACTCCTGGATGCTCTGAGGCCCTGTCTGTCTAAGGCAGGAACAGGCATCAGTTGCCCCTGGATACCTGGGCTTGTTCTCTTTTTTGAAATAATTTTTAGGTTTGCTCTATCATTTTATGTGCATGAATATTTTGCCTGAATGTATGTGTGTGTATGATGTGCATGCCTGGTACCCAAGGAGGTCAGAAAGGGTGCCAGATACCCTGGGACTGGAGTTAGGGATGGATGGCTGTGAGCTGCCACATGAGTTCGGAGAATCAAACCACTAAGCAATGTCGCCAGCCCTTGTTCTCCTCATCTTCCTTGCCTTGCTCTCTCCTCCCCTCCCCTCCCCTCCCCTCTCCCTCTTCTTCTCCCCTCCCCTCTCCTTCTCTCGTTCCCTTCTCTGCCTCCTCTTTCCCTTTCTCTTTCCCTCCCCGACATGGTCTGGTTACATGTAATGTAGGCTGGCCTTGAACACCCGCCACAGCCTCCTGAGTGCTGGAGCGAAAGGTGAGCACACTCACATCCGTATCTCTTAAATACTCTTCACCTGTGGGGGGGGGGCGCCTAGCTGTGGTCCCTGCTCTGGCTCCTGGTCACTGGGAAACTCCCAGGAAGGGAAAGGTGCTGTGCTCACCAGGAGAGGGATGAGCAATTGGCCGGCTGGCTGCTCACCGGGCCATGGCATGTCACCTCCAGGAAGAACTCGCAGGCCGCATATCTGAGCTGAAGGAGGAACAGAGGAAGGTGGAGGAGCACATTGGCAAATTGGTGAACAACAGGACCCGGATTATGGTAAGTCCTTTCTCTCTGCCTGGAGCCCTAGGTCCATCCACCCCATTTCCTATACATCTGTTTCCTACTCCCTTCTCTTCTCCAACCTCAATTCCCTCTTTCTGACATGGTCTTGTGTAGCCCAGGCTGATCTTGAACTCTTGATGTAGCTGAGAATTACCTTGAACTTCTCATCCCTCTGCCTCCCTTTCCTGAGTGCTGCGATCACAGGTGTGTCCCACCATGCCTGCTTATGCAGTGCTGGAGATGGGATCTAGCACTTCATGTGTGCTAGGAAGGTGCTCTACTGCTGAGCCACATCCCTGGGAGAGTCTAAGGAAGAACTGCAGCACTAAGCCATGCCCCCCAGCTCCTCACTGGGGGATTCTAGGCAGATGCTCTACCACTGAACCACACTCCCAGCTTCTCAGTGGGGGATTCTAGACAGGTGCTCTACCATCGAGCCATGCCCCCAGCAGTAGACAATTGTTCTACTGCTAAACTGTTCCTGACCCAAATTTTCTGAGCTTTTCATTTGATTTTTATTTTTGCCATGCTGCAAATCAACCTGGAGCCCTGTGCAATCAAGTTGGAGTTGAGCACAGAGTTCTAATCACTGAACCACTCCCAGTCCCAACACCCCACAAGCCCTTTTCTGATTTGCCCTCTATGGAAAAGGATGCCTTCTGTACAAAGCCAAGTGCAAAGAATTCCCTGGTGGCTGGGAAAAGTCCCATTCCTTATAAGGGAATTGTACCCAGTTGTCAGAACTGGTTCCAAGTTGGCTTTTGTTCAGTGTCCTTTGTGGTAGTGATAAGGCAGGACTGGAGTCCCAGAGATAAGTCCCAAAGCTTGGGCCCACCTCTCCTTCATACTTTAGAGCTACCGTGTCTGCTTGCCCTTGGTAGCTATCATGCCGTACTGAGCAACAAAAGTATGGACAGAAAGCTGTCAGCATTGGGGACTAGGAGTGGCCGAGAAGGAACAATGATGTTACCTATGCAGTCTCTCAGCTCTGAGCCTTGGGAGGAAGACGATGCAGTTGTTTCTTGTTTGTTTGTTTGTGGGTTTTTTTTTTGTTTTGTTTTTTTGAGACAGGGTTTCTCTGTGTGGCCCTGGCTGTTCTAGATCTCACTACGTAGACCGGGCTGGCCTCTGCCTCCCAAATGCTGGGATTAAAGGCATGTGCAACCACCTCCTGGTTGATGGAGCTTTTTTTTTTTTTAAGCTAGGAAAAGCATAAGGGTCCTTTAATCTCATTACAGCCATGTGACTGTCACTGTCCTACTTGTCATGTTTGTAGCCCACACTCAGGATTTGGTGGGGAAGCATGTAATGCCTGACTCTCTCTTTCTACAGCCCACCCCCTGCTTTTTTCTTTATTTTGTTTTTGACACAGGATCTCACTATATATCCCTAGCTGTCTTTGAACTCATGGAGGTCTGCCTACTCCTGATTGTTGGGACTAAAGGCATGTGCCACCACACCTGGCCCTAGTTCTTTTCTCTTTCTCTTCATTCCTTTCTTTCTCTCTTTTCTTCCTCTCTCTCTCTCTCTCTCTCTCTCTCTCTCTCTCTCTCTCTCTCTCTCTCTCTTTTTTTTTTTTTGAGACAGGGTTTCTCTGTGTAGCTTTGGAGCCTGTCCTAGAACTCGGTCTGTAGACCAAGCAGGTCTCAAACTCAAAGATCCACCTGCCTCTGCCTCCCGAGTGCTGGGGTTAAAGGCATGCACCACCAATGCCCAGCTAGTTCTTTTTCTTTTGTATTATGACAAATCATTTTACTCTTTAGCTGTCTTTTTGAGTGTTTAAGACTATATATGTGACCAAATAATTACCAACTTTATTTTTATTCTCAAGTTCAATTGAAGATCACTTTTAGGGTCTGGGGAGGAGCCCTTGGCTCTTTTAATCTGCCCTCTATCAATTATGCTGTGGGAAGTTTTAGGGTCTTGCTGACTAGGTGGCTTCCCTCAGAAGTGTTGAGGACATTTCACTCAGGGGCTACCCTTGTTTTCAGAATCAGTGCTCTTGAGAGTGTAAACCCTGGGTCTCTACAGTTATCTCTGGTTAACAGGATGAGGATGGGTGACTTGCCAGAGCTTCAGGACTCATGGAGAAGCATCCCATTGCTTCCTGGAATGTAGCTGACCCCGGGGACATGGGCCAAGGTATGGGTTGTTGTCTTGGCCCCTGCATCGTGATTGGTGTTGAGCATTCAGAAGGTCACTTACACCAGTATTTAAGAACGAACAGTGCTTTCAGACTTAGCCTTTGATAACACAGAGATAAAGTTTGACAGACATGTTTCTAAATAAACCTTTAACTCCATGAGTTTCCTAACTAGAAGTCTGACCACCTCAGCGGAAACCGTGAGCAATTACCTGACAAAACATTAAACCTTTGTTCTCTAAGGGCATTTTTCCTCAACCCATACTATTTTTCCTAATAAAACAACTTTATATTCCAGTGAAAACACAGGAAACCATAGCTTGAACAGAGAGACCATGTATAATATATCTTACATATGTAAATATGTAACAGCTATAAAATGCAAAGAATACAGCCCTGGAGATAGTTTTTAAAAATAACGTTGAGCCATGAGTGGTGGCGCATGCCTTTAATCCCAGTACTCTGGAGGCAGAGGCAGGTGGATCTCTGTAAGTTCGAGGACAGTCTGGTCTATATGAGTTCTAGAACAGCTAGGTCTATGTAGAGATCTGTTGTTGGTTGCTCTTTTTCACTCTTTTGCTATTTGCTTTTTTGGGTTTTTTTGGGGGGAGGGGCTACCACCAAGCCCCCAAATAAATCACACAGAGTCTTAATCTTATTTATAAATGCCCAGCCTTAGGTTGCTTTATTTCTAGACAGCCTTTTTCTTCCTTCCTTCCTTTCTTTCCTTTTGTTTTTTTTTTTTTTTTTTTTTTTTTTTTTTTTGAGACAGGGTTTCTCTGTAGCTTTGGAGCCTGTCCTGGAATTCGTTTTGTAGATCAGGATGGCCTTGAACTCACAGACATCTGCCTGCCTCTGCCTCCCCAGTGCTGGGATTAAAGGCGAGAAGCCACCACTGCCTGGCTCTGGCCAGTTTTTCTTAAGTTATTCTGACTACCTGTTGCTCTGGGCCTTTTCCTTTCCTTATATCTCCACATCTTACTTTCACTCCTACCCCACGGCTCGCTGTGTGACCCACGGCTCGCTGTGTGTGTGACCCACGGCTCGCTGTGTGTGTGACCCACGGCTCGCTGTGTGACCCACGGCTCGCTGTGACGCGAGGTGGCTGGCCCATAGCACCCTCCTGTCCTTGTTCTCTCTTGTTCCTTCCTCTCTTCCCAGCTTTCTCCTCCTATTTATCCTCTCTGCCTGCCAGCCCCGCTTACCCTTGCTCCTGCCTTGCTATTGGCTGTTCAGCTCTTTATTAGACCATCAGGTGTTTTAGACAGGCAAAGAATCACAGCTTCACAGAGTTAAACAAATGCAACATAAGAGAATACAACACATCTTTGCATCATTAAACAAATGTTTCACAGCATAAACAAAAGTAACACACCTTAAAATAAAATTCCACAACAGAGATTCTGCTCAAAAAGAAAATGAAAAAAAAAAAAAAAAAAAGAACAAAAGAAAGGAAATATAAGAAAGAGAAAATTTAAAATCAAAACATCATGAGTGATTCCAGTCCCAAGGGATCTGACACTCTCTCTGGCTTCCATGAGCACTAGAAACACACATGGTGTATACGCATGCATACGGGCAGAACGCTCATAAAATAATAAAATATGTCCAAAAATAGATTATTTTGATATGTGTGAGTATACTGCCTGCATGTATGTATGTACACCATGCATGTTTCTGGTGCCTATGGAAGCCAGAAGAGGGTATCAGATCTCCTGGGCTTAAAATTTCAGACAGTTGCAAGCTGCCAGTAGATGTTGGGAATTGAACCCAGGTCCTCTACAAGAGCCACAAGTGCTTTTAACTAGTGATCCATCTCTTCAGCCCCAATAAATAAATCTTAACGGCTCAGCAAATTAGAGCACTGGCTGCTCCTCCAGAGGACCCAGGTTCACTTCCCAGCACCCACATTGCAGCTTAAAACTGTCTATGACTTCTGTTCTAGAGGATCCGATACCCTCACACAGACAAAACACCAATGAATATAAAATACAAATAAATAAATAAATCAATAATTTTAAAAGACCTAGGAACCAATGCCAATTTCTGCCAATTTCTTTTTTTCTTTTCCTTTCTTTCTTTCTTCCTTTATTTTTTTTTACTTTTCTTTCTTTCTTTCTTTCTTTCTTTCTTTCTTTTTTTTTAAAGACAACGTCTCTCTAGTTAGCCCTGGCTGTTCTGGAACTCACTGTGTAGACCAGGTTATCTTTGAACTCACAGAGCTCCATCTGACCCTGCCTCCCAAGTGTTGGGATTAAAGGTGCGCACCGCCATGCTCATCCTCAATGCCCCTTTCTGACACAGGAAAATGTGCAATGATGCTTCAGTGATGACTCAGCAAAAATCCACTGATACTCACTCAGTAAAACAGCAAACTATGACTGACTAAGCACAAAGAAAAGAATAAACTGAGTGTAGTGGCACACACCTTTAATCCCAGCACTTGGAAGGCAGAGGCAGGCCAATCTCTTGAGTTTTGAGGTCAGCCTGGTCTACGGAGCAAGTTCTAGGACAGCCAAGGTTACACAGGTCTTATAAAACCTAAATAAATAAGTACAAACATAACTCAGCCAAGGCAAACCATCACTCAACAAAAAAGCACACTATGACTCGACAAAAAAAAAAAAAAAAAAAAAAAAAAAATCAAGCCATGACTCAGCCAAAAAAATCAAACCATGATTCAGTAAAAGTAGCAAACACAATTCAGTAAAGCTCCAAATTGAGACTCAGCAAAATCACAAACTACAACTCAGTTCAATCACCAACCATAACTGCACACTATTTCGGGTTATGGGGTTAGGGTCAGGGTTAGGAGTAGGGTAAGGTGCTGCAATAGCATGCATGGAACCCTCAGTTCAATCCCCAGTACTGCAAAAAGATACACACACACACACACACACACACACACACACACACACACAGAGCGGGTCATTTATAGGGCTCTGCAGTCACGCTGTGAACTCCCAGCTATTATCAACCCACTTGACATCTAGTCTGAGCCTTCTTCAGGATGGGCCAGAAAAACAAGGCCCTGGGTGTTACGATAAAACATGAGGGGGACCCATGGCAGTCGAGGGTGGAGGGACAAACATGCCAGGCAGACAGAGATTAACTGAGAACTTTAATTAGAAAGGGATCAAGGAAGGGGGAAGGAAAGAGAAAAGATGTCAAGAGACACGGAGACAGAGAGAGGGCAGAAGAGCAGAGGGAGACAGCCCCAGAGGAACAGCGGAAAGACAGGGAAAGAGATGGTAAGACTGCAGACTACTTAGCCATGGAACCCTGGGCTGACCAGGGTACCGCCTGAGAGCATTTGTCAGGTGATGGGGCGGGCCTGCATAATGCCTGAATCCTTACACTGGGAATGCCGAGACCACTGCCAGCCCAGCAGCCCGGCTGCGACTGCACTGTCACTCACTGACCCTCCTTGTCTCAGAATGAGTCCGATGTCTTCAGCTGGGTGATCCGAAGAGAGTTCCAGGAGTTGCATCACCTGGTGGATGAAGAGAAAGCCCGCTGCCTGGAGGGGGTGGAGGCTCACACTCGTGGCCTGGTGGCTTCCCTGGACATGCAGCTGGAGCAAGCTCAGGGTACTCAGGAGCGACTGATCCAGGCTGGGCAGGTGCTGGAGCAGTTCGGTAATGAGAGTCACCATGAGTTCATCCGGGTGAGTGAGCAAGAGTGTGGACCCGGCTCTCTCCTTAACAATGCAGCTTTGACACAGCAGTAACCCCTGTCCTTCTCTTTCTTTCAGAAGTTCTACTCCATAGTCTCCAGGTAACAACCTCAACTTAAGCTGCTGGGAGGGATCAGCCAGTGTCCAGTGTCTGCTGGCACAGGCATCTCATCCCCATTCCTATGAGCTAACCCTAAGATGTTCCCCATGTGCGGCTCTGTCCAAGGAAAAGAATGGAGGTCAAGTGCCTGTCCTCAGGGTTCTCACAGACTAGTCATACAGAGGAAAAACTGGTCCCACCCTGTGGTAGCTATGGCAACAGATATTGCCTCAAGCTATGCAAACACTGGGGGAGGTGACGGCCAGGGACTGGTAAAGGCACACAGGTGTGACAGTAGAGAAGGCTGCACTGTGCAGGTAGGCAGCGTGAAAGCCATCTTGAGAAATGGGGGTAAAGGGGAGTGCAGACCATAGGGTATGATAAAGTTCAGTGTTGCTGTGGACTCAACTGTTACGTGTGAGGAAGGGGACATGTACCAGGCAGGCAACCCAGAGTGAGGGCCCTTGAGGTATGCCCTTTGGACCTTGGGAAGGAGTGAGTCCATGGTAGTGCTGGGAGTCTCAATACTTTCTGAACCTTCTTCCGACCCTGCTGGTGTACAGCTCCTTGTTTTCTTTTCAAATTCTTATTTTATGTGTATGGGTGCTCCGCATGCATGTGTGTCTGTGTGAAGTGCCCACAAAAGCCATGAGCATTGGAGTGGCTGGAACGGAGATTACAGACGGTTGTGAGCTGCCATGTGGGTGCCATCCCATGGGCCTGAAGCACGGAGGCTCTTGACCTGGCCATGCCTATGTCAACGATCACAGTTGCTCAGGGCTCCCTCAGCTCCCCACAAATCCACTTCCGGGAAGCAGGCATTTCTCCAGGAAGGAGGTGTGAGGAGAGAGAGTGGCGGAGCCATCAGTATTAATGTGTGGCCTGAATGCCTCTGTGGGCCCGCACATTAGGAGGGTGGGAGACAGCCTTGACCTTGAGCTCCCCCACCACTGGAACTCATGCACACAGGGCGGAGGTCCAGCAGGCCCGGCCGCTGGAAGGCACATTCGGCCCCATAGCCTTCAAGCCGGGTCTCCACCAGGCCGACATCAAACTGACTGTGTGGAAGAGACTCTTCCGGAAAGTTCTGCCAGGTGAGGCTTCAAATGGTTATCCTTTCAACTTGTTGATGGCACCAAGAAGCATACAGAGAACTTACAGGGAGCCTGCATGGGGTAGTGAGAGCGTGGGAATGGGCGCAGAAGTCAGGCAGCTGCACACACTCCTCCACAGGGGCCCTGCCTGCTGTGTTTCGGGCATTATCCATCCACATGCACATCTCACTCACTCACCCAACCTAACCCATCCACTTTTCATCTATCCATCCACTTTATCCACACAGCCCTGCGCCTGCCCAGAGTCAGCAGGGTCGTTCCCCTACCGGGGACGCAGGCTTGCCATCTCCTCTTGCGCAGGGTCTGCAGATTCACTGCGACCCAGGCCTTTTTCTCTTCCAGCTCCAGAATCTCTCAAGCTCGACCCAGCTACTGCCCACCCTCTCCTGGAGCTCTCTAAGGGCAACACCGTGGTACACTGTGGCCTCCTTGCCCAGAGACGGGCCAGCCAGCCCGAGCGCTTCGACTACAGCACCTGCGTCCTGGCCAGCAAGGGCTTCTCTTGGGGTCGCCACTACTGGGAGGTGGTGGTGGGTAGCAAGAGCGACTGGCGCCTGGGAGTCATCAAGGGCACAGCCAGCAGAAAGGGCAAGCTGAGCAAATCCCCAGAGCACGGGGTATGGCTGATCGGCCTCAAAGAGGGCCGGGTGTATGAGGCTTTTGGCTGCCCACGGCTGCCACTGCCTGTGGCCGGCCACCCCCACCGCATCGGCGTCTACTTACACTACGAGCAGGGTGAACTGACGTTCTTCGATGCCGACCGCCCCGATGATCTGCGGACACTCTACACCTTCCAGGCTGACTTCCAGGGCAAGCTGTACCCCATCCTGGACACCTGTTGGCATGAGAGGGGCAGCAACTCACTGCCTATGGTATTGCCCCCACCCAGTGGGCCTGGCCACCTCACCCCTGCACAGCTATAGGCTGCCCTGGTGCTGTCTGCTCATTGGCCCATCCTGCTAGACACAGGAATTTGAGCAGTTCTGCAGGCCTTAAAAGAAGAGTTTGGACTGCTTGAGAAGTTCCTTCACACATGCATGTCCCTGGAACATTTCCAGGTCCTGTATCCACCCAACCTACTGAGCAACACTGTCCCTCCCAACTCTTCCAGCAGAGGGCAGAAACATTCCCACATATACTTAATCCACATTATTGGAACCTTCAAACATCAGTTAAAAACAATAAACTTGATATTAATTATTGCTATTCCTACTATTTTCAATAATTTTTGTTTTAGTTAGGTATGTTTGTGGGTGCTCAGAAGTTACAGGGTCCCCTGGAGCTGGAGAAAGGCTGTGAGCTGCTTAACCAGGTTGTGGGAACAGTATGTGCTCTTAACGGCTGAACCATCTCTCTTAGCGCCAGTCTCATGTAGCCCAGGCTGGCCTGAACTATCTAGTCAAAGATCAGCTTGAACCCTGATTCCCCTGCTTCCACCTCCTGAATGCTGGAGTACAGGAGTGTGCCGTTATGGCTGGTTTATTCAGTGCTGAGGATGGAACCCCAGAGGTCCACATCTACCAGGTGGATGTTTAACTACTGAACCACATCTCCAACTCCAACAGCCCCTCACTGGGGGATTCTAGGCAGTGCTTTATCACTGAGCCTTTCATCTCATCAGAGGAGGAGTCTGAGGCAGGACTGCCAGGAGAGTCTGGGGTACATTTTGAATTCCAGAGTAAGTCACACTCTTTAAAAACTCCAAAGTAGCCTTCAGTCCCAGCACTTAGGAGGAGGCGGGCGGATCTCTGTGAGTTCGAGGTCTGCCTGGTCTACAGAGCGAGTTCAGGATAGGCTTCAAAGTTACACAGAGAAATCCTGTCTCGAAAAACCAAAACCTATAAAGTAACTACAGAGAGCTAGGAAAAATGATTTTTCCCCCTCTTTTTGGTATTTTGAGACAGGGTCTCACTGTGTAGCGCTAGCTGTCCTGAAACTATGCAGACCCAACTCGCTTGCCTCCCGAGCGCTGGGATTAAAGGCGTGCGCCACCATGCCCGGCTTTAGAATTACTTTTTAGATGCTGAAAACGGAAAGCAGCTAGCTTCTTGGGAGTAGGATCACCCCTTTGGATTCCGGAAGCCCGCTGTGCCGGATGTTGCAGCGGCCGCAAAGCCTGGTCGAGGTTTTGCGACAGTGCCGTACAGCCTTTGCCGAAGCAACAGCATGGGGCTGTACGCGGCCGCGGCGGCGGTGCTGGCAGGCGTGGAGAGCCGCCAGGGCTCCCTGAAGGGACTGGTGTATTCCAGCAGCTTCCAGGTAGTGGGGCCGGCTGCAGGGAGGAAGGGTTGCGGAGCTGGGCTGGCCGGGTGGTGGTGGGAGGTGAGTCCCGCTTTGGATGCGGCATGTCGCCCCTGTGCCACGCAGAACGTGAAGCAGTTGTACGCGCTGGTGTGCGAGACGCAGCGCTACTCGGCCGTGCTGGACACCGTGATCGCCAGCGCCGGGCTCCTGCGCGCCGAGAAGAAGCTGCGACCGCACCTGGCCAAGGTGAGCGGCGACTGCGGCCAGAGCCTGCCACCCGTGCATAGTTCTGCACCTCTTTCTGGGACCCGAATTGAGCTGGAACGGATGTGACTTCATGGGGAGAATTGCGTGAAGGGCTAAATAGGACAGTGGCAGAGGTTACCTACCGGAAAGGGTGATGATGGCAGGAAGGTTGGGGGTCCAGAGCTCCACCGAACAGGTGGCTGGAAAAGGTACAGCCATGGGAGGCAGGACACTGGGTTTCAATACTAAATCTGCGTTCTTTCTGTCTGTCTGTCTTTTTGTGACGCTGGAGATTGAACCAGCTTGCCAGAGAAGAGTTCCAACACCGAACCACATCCCCAGATCCTTTCTGGAGGATTCTAGATAGGAGCTCTACCACTGAGCCACATCCCCAGGCCCTCACTGGAGGATTCTAGGCAGGTGGATACTAGGCAAGCTCTCTACCCAGTACCTGAGCCTTGCTCCCTTTGTTTTTGTTTGTTTTTGAGACACGTTCTTGCTAAGTTGCTCACGCTGGTCTTAAATTGGTAACAGGTGAATTACTAGTTTGTAGTCTTCATGTATGAGACTGCAGGGATTGTAGGCGTTTGCCTACTGGGACATCAATTTCTTGGGTGATCTTGGGCAAGAAAATCCCCATGACAAGACTGTCTGGACTGGACCTTAGTCTTCCCGCTGGAGGGTTTTATGATGTTAATAGTTTTTCTGTTTTTCTCTATCTAGGTGCTAGTGTATGAATTGTTGCTAGGGAAGGGTTTTCGAGGGGGTGGAGGCCGATGGAAGGCCCTGCTCGGCAGACACCAGGCAAGACTCAAGGCTGAGTTGGCCCGGCTCAAGGTCCATCGGGGTGTGAGCCGAAATGAGGACCTGTTGGAAGAGAAATCCAGGCCTGGCCAAGGTGAACTGGAGAGTGAGGGGAGGGCAATGGCCTTCAGAGGGGGAGGGGGCTTGCCTTCCTACCCACTCATTGCTGTGGCTTCCAGCCTACCAGGTGCCTCGGTTTGTGCGTGTGAACACGCTGAAGACCTGCCCTGAGGATGCAATCGATTATTTCAAGAGACAAGGTTTCTCCTACCAGGGTCGGGCTTCCAGGTGAGAACTTAGCACCTGCCTGGGTGCCTTCATTTTCCTGGATGTCCAGATTCCTGGTTAAGCAGGAGTCTGTGGTGAGAGAGGCTAGAGGTAGTGACTGCTTTCTCTAGATGTCTTTCCTACTTTCCCAACAAAATGTTCTCTCTTTTAAAAAGGATGTTATCTTTGTTTTAAATGATATATAATACGTATGTCTATGTGTGGGTGTGTGCATGTGCCAAAAGAGGGTATTGGACCCTCTGGAGATCGAGCTATAGGCAGGCGAGCTGCTGGACATGGTGCTAGAAACCAAACTTAGGTCCTCTGAAAGAGCAGTGTGTTCCTAGCTGCTAGGCTATGTCTAGCCCCTCCAGCAGTTTTCCTCATCACCTTCTGATACCTGGTTTCCCTGCAATTCTTATTCTACGTCCTGGTGACCCGTCTATTTGTTCTCTAGTCCAGCTGCTCCCTCTTGCCTTTCTAGTTTGTCTGGATTACAGCCTTTTCAGCTGTAGGTCAAGGCCCCATGGACTGCATAGCAATGTACAGTTCCAAATATTTGGAAACAGTAGGAGGTTTCTGAAGACACAATGATAAAACATAATTCATAATCAGACATATATGAGTCCTGGGCATTCTTAGCAGCATGTGTTGGTGTTTCATTATGTGACATAATGTGTGTCATATCCCGTCACATATTGAAACACCCAGCAGTGCACACCCGGTTACAGCCCACAGACTCATATTTGAGACTACTGCATATTAGGGGCTACAGTGTTGTACTGTACATATAGTCCCTGCTCTTTTAGAAACATAATGATCTAAATACGGACAACAAAAACTTTTATTATTTTCCTACAGCCATACTGCCATCCTTTACATGAAGTATCAGATTAGTCTGTCTTTGGATTTTAATGCATTAGAATGTCAGATTTGAAAATTTGGTGTTTGATTTGCTAACTTGAGTTTCAAAAAAAAAAGTTGTTAGATTTTGGCTTTGAATCAGGACAAAATTTTCAACTATTTTTGTATGGGCTGTAAACATACTTTTTGTAATTTTGTGTTACATATTTATGTGAAGTGCTGTTCTTACCACCATCACCATTTATAAAGTCAATGTATCAATCCAATTTTAATCGTTTTTTTAAAGATGTATTTATTATGTATACAGTGTTCTGTCTGCATGTTTGCCTAACATGCCAGAAGAGGGCACCACATCTCATACAGATGGTTGTGAGCCACCATGTGGATGCTGGGAATTGAACTCAACCTCTGGAAGAGCAGCCAGTGCTCTTAACCTGTGAGCCATCTCTCCAGCCCCAATTTTAATCATTGTAATTATTGTTGTGTGTGTACAAGCAAGTGCTTTTACTTGGTGAGCCAACTCAGCAGCCCTTGCAACCTCTACCCCCTCTTTTAGGGGTAGGGCTTGATGTTACAAACTTGTTATCCCAGTACTGGGGAGGTCGAGATGGGATTGAGTTCCAGATCCTGTCTCAACAAACACAGCTCAGCAGTTAAAGAGCAAACCCTGCTCTTGCAGAGGACCCAAGTTCAGTTCCTAGCACCCATGTTGAGTGGTTTATAACTCCAGTTCCAGGAGCCTCTGATGGCTCTCAGGGTACCTGCTCTCACATGCACATACCTAGACATAGTTACATAATTTTAAAATAAGTCTTTGTTTAAAAGTGAAAAGCAGGGGTGATGACTCAGTGGTTAAGGGCATGACTGCTTTTTGAGAGGAGCAGAACCCACATAGTGGTCCCAACCATCTATAACTCCAGTCCTAGGGAACCCGATACCCTTTTTTGGTCTCCACAGGCACTGTATACATGCTGATGCAGACAAAACACCCTAAACACATAAAATAAAGGTTAAAAACAAAACCTAACCAGTGGTTGTTCCCTGCCAGCCTGGAGGACTTGCGAACTCTCAAGGGTCAACATTTTCTTTTGGATCCCTTGTTGCCTGAGCTTCTTGTGTTCCCTGCACAGACAGATCTGCATGAGCATCCACTCTACCGCGCTGGCCATCTCATCCTGCAGGATAAGGTGGGGGAGGGGAGGGCAGAGAAAGAGAGGGTGTGTGGGGTAATGACTTAAGGGCTCTGTGTTCACCCAGCTACCCACCATCTTCTGCCCTGCTAGGCCAGCTGCCTCCCAGCCATGCTGCTGTCTCCCCCGCCAGGCTCCCATGTCATTGATGCCTGTGCTGCCCCTGGCAACAAGACCAGTTACATTGCAGCCCTTCTGAAGAACCAGGGGTGAGTGCTGACAATGAGCTTTGAGGCAGAAGGAGGGGCGTGGTTGACTCTTACGCTTTGTGGGGTGGGGTGGGGTCTCACTGAATGATAGATTGAGAACATAGCATGGCCCTGGGCAGCTCATAGCCTAGTTCCAAGCCAGGCTACTGGTGTGAGACAAAACTCCCTATGCCCTTGGGTTTCTTCTCAGGCTGGGTATCTGGCAGGGACCCCTATAAGCCATTTAAATATGTTGTATCCTAGCTTTTTGTTTTGTTACGGGTGGTAGTGTATTGGGGATTGAATCCCCAAAACCTTATACAA